CCTTTGTGGGAATGCTTCTTCTTGGTAATTTGCACAACCCTTAAGCTAAGAAAGAATGATCACACCTGTTTACGAGGAGCAAAGACACATCCTCACCAGCAATCCCAATCTGACATGGCTCTATATACACTATCATATGATATCAATCAAACTTTGCACATGTAATTTCTTAACTCTTCTAAACCTATCTCAGATTATTTCATGAGCACCAGCCTCAAGTTCAGCAACATAAAAATGGTAAACCTAATGGTAAAGTGGGAAACTTAATAAGTAAGAGATTCATATTAGAATAGTCCATTCTAATATGCCTTTACTAGCTAATCTCATATATGCTTGTACATTTGCTATTAAACATACCAAAGGAAAACATAACTCGTGTCAAAGCTTTGGTTGACTATGCTTTCTACTACATTCACAATAATTTATTGTCATTTTACAGAAAAGCTAAGGTTTGTATAATTCAACATTCACTAAGAATCCACTAAGTGTCAAAAACTGTATTACTAGTTTTGTGGATTGTGAGGATGGGTATAAATATAGTTAAGACATATCTCTAGGAACTCATGATAAATTCTAAAATATTCATAATTTCAGTGGATAGAAATGATATCCCAATAGCTGGCTGTGATAATAATAACATAGGGGCTATAATGGAGATATATGCAAACTGCTTTAGAGGACAGAGGAGAGAACTAATTCTCACCTAGATGTAGGGATCAAGAAAGACTTTGAAGAAGATGATGGATATGAGCTGAATCTTCAGGATTGATTGAACTTTGAAAGGTGGGGAGGTAAGAGGGTGAGTAAGTGGCCTGGTAGGACAGGGGAAAGCAGTGGAGAATGGAAGGAATGGGTACATCTTGAGAAAAGGGGAAAAAGCCTCTAAACAAGGTAAGTTAAACTTTCTATCTCAGATGGAGGAAAATCTATTGAACCAACTGTCTTGGCTGTTCCAGTGTGATCATAGCATTGCTTGTATGGATTGTCAAATAAAGGATGAGTTCATAAAAGGATATTAATGTGTCATTTTTATTGAGCAAAGTAGCATTACAGGAAAGGTGATTTCAAAGGCACGTGGCTCTTTCATTACAGCCTTCAGGGGCGATGTTTGATCACTGAAAACAGCCTGCTTTGTTCCAGCTTTCTCTGATGTTTGGCATTATCCTGAATACATATGCTCTGACTTGGGAAGAATCAGTCTATAAAGATTTAATAGATTTTAGATTTGCATATTCAAAATACATGTCATGGTTAAAGTGAAATGAAAACTATTTTAATATCTACATCTGTATTATACATAAACATGTAGTTCAGACATATCTTAGCAAATTTTTAAAAAGCAATTACATATGTTATATTTGCTTATCCTAAGATTATGACAGTTGGCTATTTTAAAAATTAACCATTTTATATTTTCACTGAGGAAAAAATGTATTTTAGGAGACATTATATTGGTGATAACAAAAGACAGGAACCCTTCAACTTTCAGGGATTTGAAGTTGCTGTATGTTCTTGTCTCCTTTCATGGACATAACTTCCAAGTGTTGTAAATCAGCAACCACTTTCTTTATTAAAAATGAATTAACACCATACTTGGGTAGAGAAAATTGAAAGTCACAAATAACTGTAAAATGTAAAATGTAAAATATAAAAAAAAGATAAATGTAAAAGATTAGTATTTGCATGAGGTACTTTTCCTTATATGACTAAAAGAGGTGACTTTTTTTTTTTTTAACCAAAAGGAGAGATTCTTGGAAAGAGACCTGAAGAGTCAAAAGCTTGTGTGGTGACTAAAATAGAGTTTTCTCTTCTTAGAATTCTCTGGCCTCTATTCCTGTAAATTGATAAGTAATCTCACATAAATTCATCTTTTAATTTTGAATTCCAGTGAAACCTTTGAGAGAAAGATGGCATTCCAAGTCAGTCAGTTTGATATACTTTACATTTACAATTAGACACTCACTGCGTTGAAATTGAGCCCAAAAGACTTCAGCTAATATTCTATTTCATGTGACAAAGAAAAATCTTATCATGTCAATTCCCTACTTAAAATCTTTCATTTTACTTGTCCTCACTTACAACATCTTTCACCTCAATGACACTGAATGCTTTTGTGTGGCATATCCTTTCTTTTCTGGTTAGTTTTGCAACAGTCTCAAGACAGAGACTTTCATTTATGCATTTGTAACCCAGATCACTGCTTTCATCTGGAGATCTTGTTAAAAATGCAGGTTCTGATTCAGCACGTCTGGGGTCTGGCCAAGATTCGAACAAGCTTCCAGGTACTGCAATTGACCACACTTTGGATAGCAAGCACCTAGATATTTAATACCTCTTATTAAATTGGTATTAGTTCCTGGATCATGATAACTGAAAACTTAGGTTTTCTGACTTTGCATCAGACTTTGACCTTTTTGTTTATTGGTAATCTCATAAAGATATTGTATGATCTGGATTTCTTTTTCTTCTCTAGTCTCCTTTCTTATCCTATTCTTACTTACATTTGAGACATAACGAAATACTTGAAATTTCCAGAATGTGTCAAGCTCTTTTACATCTCAGTACCTTTTCAAATACTATTTCCTCTGCCTGCCCCAGCATCTTGTGTTGCTTCCTTTAAAACTCAGTTCAACTTGGCGCATCTGGATGGCATAGTCAGTTAAGTGTCTGACTCTTGGTTTCAGCTCAGGTTGTGATATCAAGGTCCTGGAATCAAGCCCTATGGCAGGCTCCATGTTCAGCATGTGGTCTACTTGAGATTCTCTCTCCCTCTCCCTCTCCCTCTGTCCCTTCTACCCCTCCCCCTCCCTGGCCATGTTCTCTCTCTTTCTCAAACAAATAAATAAATCTGAAAAAAGAAAAAAAGAAAAGAAAAAAAAAACCCTCAGTTCAGCTGTAGTTTCCAGGAATCCTTCCCTAATATCTCTACATTGTAATTGTTTAATTAAATGCTTCCAGGATTCTCCCACAATGCTCTGTATTTCCTATGTTATAACTTTCTTGTAATCTATTGTACAGAATATTTACTTGTCTCCTTACTTCAAGATAGCACTTCTTGGGAGGAAAAGATTATGCATTTTATCTCCGTTACCTACTGCTAATCACAATGCTTGACACATAGTAGGTTTCCATTAAAGTTACTGAATGAATAAGGAAGGGCAGTTGGTGTGTTGTAATATGATGCAATATTGTCTTTCATGAAGTTTAACTTGAATTGGGAGTAATAAAAACTAAAGTCATAAAAAGTTAAGTACAGGATGAGATAATACTGAAGATAAAAATGTTAGTATGTGATTAATTGCCAAATGAGGATCATAGAAAATAACTGTTCTAAGGTCATTGGAGGAAAATGTCACTATAGATTTTTGCTATGTCTTTAATACCCCAGTTGTTCCACAAAAGATTGGAGATAGCTGAAAATACCATATTTGGGAATTAATGAGAGGTATGAACACATATATAGTTAAGGGAATAGTATTAGAAAAGCAGAAAGTTATGGAAGTACATACTCAGAAATTGGGGAGCAGATATACTAGCATATTTGCAAAAATGGCCCTCATTCAATAATGGGCAGTAAGGATGGTGTGCTGGACTTCCATTTCCACTCTCTACCTTGGAGGCTGACTTCTGTGGTGGCATCAGTAGCTCCCTTGTCCTCTGGCTTCTGGCTTAATCTGGCCAAAGGAGGGTACCCTGGCAAAGGATCAGATGGAGGGAGAAGAGTGAGGTCAGAATATTTATTTTCTTGTGTTACCTAGAACTGGCTGTGCCTCTGTGTAAATTGCCCCTTTGTTAAAATCTCCTTAAATTATTCTAATCTGAGTGTGCCCCCTGTTCCCTGCTGACACTCTAATATACTCACGGAGTTGTTTAATGCTAGATTGGATGACAGGCTTAATAACTTTTATGATAATCATTAATGCTACAAAAATGTTTTAGGTGCTATGTATCAGGTAAGATTCTGTGAGAGGGGGGTTCAATAGAGAAGAATTCAAAAAGCAAACCAACCTGAAATCTCATACTTCTATTGTTCACATTTTTGTGTGGTAAAGAGGATATAAATTATATTAGGGGTAGGGAAAAATTGATGTGTTTAAATCCCCACAGTTCTGTAATGTTTCTTTACATCAACCTTTCATTTAATGCTCAGTTGAAAAGTAATATTATATTAAAGATGTAATTTTGGAGTTGTTCTCTTTTTACTTTGGGTAGATTATCCAGATTTTTGCCTTTCCTCTTTTCTGTTGCTCATTTTCTGGTTATTTCACTGCTCACTCTTCTTCCTTCAGGAGATCTAAAAGGAAAATAAACGGGTGAAAAGCTTAGCTTTAGTATCTATGATAAGAGGTTTGTTAGGAAAGAGACTGAAATTCTGAACTGAAATTAAGCTTTTCAGTTTATCTGGGCTGTTCTGCCCCCTATTGCCATAAAGATACCAAGAGATATTTCCAACTTGTCAAAAATCGAGAGAGAGAATGAACAAAAAGTCTTATATTCATGACGACAAAGAGAAACAGGTTTAATAAATAGATAAGATGCTCTTAATATAAGGAAGGCCCTGGTGTATAGCCTCTGTCTTTGAATCTTGGATTGTATTACAACCTTGTTTGCAATACATACTTAGATCACTGTTGACTCACATGAGCCTAATTCAGTGACCCAGCAAAAATAGATCATAAATCCCAGCAAGGGAAGATATGTTTGTAGTTTGACCTTGGAATGATGAGCTAAAGGTGCTGAGGAAACCATAAATCTAATTTACAATAATAACAAAAATAAGATTGTTTATACTTTGCCCAGTGGATGGAGTGAAAATCTAATATTTTTCTTGGTACATGCTGTACATTTTGCCAAGCTTGATTAAATGCCTGTTTAGTAGGTAGCTAGGAGAGGAACTGAATAAAAACACTTTATATGAGGCTTTAGACTACTACTTCATTATCTCTGATTTAATTCTTTTTTTTAAAGCCGTTTTAACTCTTCCTTTTTTTATTTCTAAGGTTCCATTTATGAAATGTTTGGAAATGAATGCTGCTTGTCAACAGGAGAAGTGATTAAAGTTACTGGTCTCAAAATTAAGAAGATCATAGCTGAAATTTCTGAGCACGTTGAGGGTTGTGAGTCTCTACAACCATTTGAGCTGCCTATGAATTTTCCAGGTACAGTATATTGCAACCATTTCACATTTATAAAACTATAGTTATTATGCATCTATACAGTTGAAAACAAGTGGTAGCTTTCTTTTCACTCTAGGGTAGTGGATTAAAAAACTAGAATTCTTTTTTATTTTTTTAAATGCAGTGTTATATGAGTTTCAGGTGTACGGTATAGTGATTCAACTGTTAAAACATTTCTCAGTGCTCATCCTGATAGGTATACTCTTAATCCCCTTCACCTGTTTCACCCAGTCACCCACCTCTACCTCCTGTCTGGTAACTATCAGTTTATTCTCTATAGTTAAGAGTCTGTTTTTGGCTTGTCTATTTTTTCTTTGTTTCATTTGTTTTGTTTTTTTTTAATTCCACATATGAGTGAAATCATATGGTATTTGTCTTCCTCTAACTGACTTATTTCATTTAGCATTATACTTTCTAGATCCATCCATGTTATTGCAAATGGTAAGATTTCATCCTTTTTATGGCTGAATAATATTCCAATATATATACACCATATGTAAACACACACACACACACACACACACACACACACACACACACACATATACACCACATCTTTTTTATCCATTCATCTATTAGTGGACACTTGAGCTGATTCCATAGTTCCATAGTTTGGCTCTTGTAAATAACGCTTCAGTAAACATAGGGGTGCATGCATCTTTTTGAATTAGTATTTTTGTATTCTTTGGATAAATATCCAGTAGTGGAATTACTGGATCATATGGAACTCTATTTTCAATTTTTTTGAGGAAACCCAATACTGTTTTCCTCAGTGGCTACACCCATTTGCATTCTCACCAATAGTGCATGAGGGTTCATTTTTTCTCCACATCAGTGCTTTGTAAGGACTACTAGAAGGTAAATTATTTCTCCTTTTTTTAATAAATATTCTTCATTTAGGACTTAATATTATCTGTTAACAAATACTTAATGAGTTCTAACTGTATGCATTACTTACTATGCTAGTGAGAATGAAGAAATCAAAGATATTTCATAAAGTTATGTAGGACTGATATCTCTTAAATATATTTATTCTCTTTATTCCTATTGTAAGTAGAATCTGGCTCCCTGGATCACTGCTAAACTTCCGAGTATGATCTTACTGATACATCTGGTTGCTCCTCTTTGTCTAGTTAACTCTACTCACCCTTCCAAAATGAGCTCAAATAGCATATCCTCTGTAATGCTTTTGCTGCTGCCCTAACCTACTCTAGGTATCTCTCTTTTATGTTCCCAAAATCTTTTTCACCAATAGCATTGGGTAATCATTGATGATTTTCTCATTTGTCTTATTCTCCAGACCAGAGGTTGGCAAATGTTTTTTATAAAGAACCAGATAGTAAATATTTTAGACTTTGCCACCAGATGATCTCTGTCACAACCATTCCACTCTGATTCTGTAACATAAAGGGAGCTAAAGATGATACATAAACCAATGGATGTGGCTGTGGTCCAATAAAAATGTACCTACAATGATAGCTGGCCAGTAGAATTTGGCCTGTGGACTATAGTTTGTTGACTTCTCCTCTAGACTAAAACTTTTGGCAAATAAAGTATGACATATATGACTTTATACCTAGTATCAAACATTTTTTCAGTAGTCATTTATTGAATGGATGAATGAGTGAAATGAGTGAATAAATGATTAGTGGAGGAGAAAAATCTAGGAAACACTTAAAATATTATGTGATTCATGGTGTGATTGAAATATCCTTGGTTTCCAGAGGAAAAGGGGGAGGGGGAGGAAAAGAGGAGGAGAGGAGAGGAGCAGGATGGGGGACGAGGGGGAGGAGAGATATGCATGGGTTCCATGAGAGTCTTGATAAGGAATATCTAACTCCTGTTGGTCATGTTTCAGAACATGGATTTTGGAGTCATTACATATATTTGAATTTCAACTCTGCCATTTGTTAGTTGTATAACCTTGCCAAATTACTTACTCTCCTCTCATGTAAAATGGGAATAATAATACTATCTATCTTCTAGTATTTTGGAGAGAATTGAACATTGAAATATATTTGAAGTGTTCCGAATGGTACTTGTCACATATCAAGTGTCAGGTTTTATACTGTTATCAAGTGGAGTCAAGTTTTTCAAAGCTTTTGAAAAATGTTGTACTTGAGCTCAGATTTGGAGAATGAAAATAAAATAGCTATGTGAGGAGAGGATTATTCCAAGTGTTCCAGTATTTTCTTCCTTTCTACTGGAATTTTACCTAGTTTTAAATTCTATTGACTCCTTCCTTATGTAACCCCATCCTTTATAGCAATGGTTCTCAAACATGGCTGCACACTGGAAATCACCTAGGGAGGTTTAAAATATCCTGATGCTCAGGCCACTTGCCTGTGATATTTTGATTTATTTGGTCTGGAATGAAGTCTGGTTACCAAAATATCTTGAAGTGACCAGGATGATTCTAATAAGCAAAGTTGCAGACCATTGCTTCATGAGAAGCTTTTCCTGAGTATTCTAGTTGAATGTAACAATTCCCTTTTTGAATAACTATAGCCTTTCATGCCCTAATGATTGCATTTATTACATTTTGAATGTAATTGAAGTTATTTGTGGACTACTGCTTAACAGATTACAACATTGCTAACAACAGAATCTGAATCTCATTTACTGCAATGATCCCCACAGTGTTTAGGAGAAGATGTATATAAATATTTAGTAAGTTAAAATGACTAGAATCTTCTAGTAGAAGGAGTGTTTCTTATGAGAGTAGTGAAAACACTTAGTTTTTAATTTTTTTTAAAATTTTTATTGTGTTATGTTGGTCACCATACAGTACACCATTTGTTTTTGGTGTAGTGTTCCAAGATTTGTTGTTTACATATAATACCCAGTGCTCCATGCAATACATGTCTTCCTTAATACCTATTAGTGGGACAACTTATACCCTCACCTCTCCCTCTTTTATTTTAGAATATATGTTATATATTTATTTTGGGGAATTAGCTCACATGATTATGGAAATTGGCAAATCTAAAATCTATAAAGCCAATTTCCCACTTAGCTTTTGACTAGCACCTTAGTTTGGGGACTTACTATTTAGAATTTTTTGAGTCTTCAGTTGACATGATAAGCTTGCATCAATTGAGCAACAATTAGAAAAATTTATTTACAAAACTAGTTTTAATGTATGGATCAGGACAAATGTGGAGGGGAAAAGTGATTAGTGATGATTATAGAATACTTTCTTTCAAAGAGGTCTCTGAGGTGATGATGAAAGATGGAGTATAGAAGTAATTCTTCTATGTTAGTACTAGGGAGAGAGAGAAATTAAGGCCATTAACAATTTTAAATTAATTTCAACAGAAACATCTCTTTATTTATACTGTATTTAAAACTGTCAATTTAAACTCCTAGTTAGATATTAAACTCAAAAAGTACTTTAATATATATTTTAAACATCCTTTGTTATTTGGGAATTTCCCAAATTTTCTTTTGTTATTTATTTCAACTGCATTCTAGTGTGGTCAGAAGACATACTTTATCAATTCTTTTAAAATTTTTCAGACTTGTTTTATGGCTTAACACATGGCCTATCCTGGAGAATGTTCTATGTGCTCTTGAGAAGAATGAGTATTCTGTTGTTATTTGGTGGATTGTTCTACAGACGTCTGTTGGTTTATAGTGTTGTTCAAGTCTTCCTGTTCCCTGAGAATCTTCTGTCTAGATCTATCCATTATTGAAAGTTCCAACTATTATTGAAGTTTCCAGCTATTACTGTCAACTTTTGCTTCATGTATTCTGGGACTCTGATGTTAAGTGTATATGTGCTTATAATTGTTATCTCTTCTTGATAAGGTGGCCCTTTTATTGTTCTATAGTATTCTTTGTCTCTAGTAAAATTTTTGTTTTAAGGTTTATTTTGTCTGATACTAATGTAGTTACTATAGTTCTCTTTTGGTTACTACTTGCATGGTCTATCTTTTTTTTTTTTTAATTTAAATTCAAGTAGCCAACATATTGTACATCATTTAGTTTTTGACATAGTGTTCAATGATTCGTTAGTTGCATATAACTCCCAGTGCTCATCACATCACATGCCCTCCTTACTGCCCATCACCCAATTACCCCATCACCCCACCCACCTCCTTTTCAGCAACCCTTGGTTTGTTTCTCAGAGTCAAGAGTCTCTTGTGGTTTGTCTCCCTCTCTGATTTCTTCCCATTCAGTTTTCCCTCCTATCCCCTATGATCATCTGCACGGTTTCTTACATTCCACATATGAGTGAAACCATATGATAATTGTCTTTTTCTGATTGACTTATTTCACTTAGCCTAAGACCTCCAGTTCCATCCATATAGATATAAATGGTAGGTATTCATCCTTTCTGATGAGTGAGTAATATTTTATTGTATATATGAACCCATTCATTCTTCTTTACCCATTCATTTGTTGACGTTCATTCCACAGTTTGGCTACCATAGACATTGCTGCTGTGAATATTGGGGTACATGTGCTCCTACTTTTCACTATATCTGTATCTTTGGGGTAAATGCCCAGTAATGCAATTGCTGGGTACTAGGGTAGTTCTATTTTTACTTTCTTAAGGAACTTCCATACTGTTTTCCAGAGTGGCTGTACTAGCTTGCATTCCCACCAATAGTGTAAGAAAGTTCCCCTTTCTCTGCATCCTCACCAGCATTTGTTTTTCCCTGTCTTATTAATTTTAGCCATTCTAACTGGTGTAAGGTAGTATGTCATTGTAGTTTTGATTTGTATTTCCCTGATGGTAAGTGATTTGGAGGATTTTTTCATGTGTCTGCTGGCCATTTGGATGTCTTCTTTGGAAAAGTGTCTGTTCATGTCTTCTGCCCATTTCTTGACTAGGTTATTTATTTTTTGGGTGTTTGATAAGTTTTTTATAGATCTTGGGTACCAGGCCTTTATCTGATATGTCATTTACAAATATCTTCTCCCATTCTGTAGGTTGCCTTTTAGTTTTGTTGACTGTTTCCTTTGCAGAAGCTTTT